CTGCTTTGCCAACAGTCATTTCAACCAATTCATCCAAAGCGCTTAGAGGCCCCTTCGTGACCCCGTATTTCCACAATTTTGTTCATGGCTTAACCGCAGCCCATGCAGATAATGGAGGATCACAGAAATCATCAAACTCTGCGGCCCGGCCCATGTTTTTCGATCGATTCTCCCTTAAACATCTTAAACCATCGAAATGAACCATTCCCCCGTATTGTTGGGTACATATCTCATGATACCCCTGTAAGGGTGGTTTGATGCCTCCATGAGAGCCAGCCCAACATACATACATACATATATATATATATATACATATTTATCTATATATTGCTATTATTGATATTGTTATTATAATTTGGCTATATCAGGATGGTGAGGCATGTAATTCCAACCACCGTTTTGCTGGACAACATTCACCACTTTCACCGTGTGCTTTCTGTTCTCCATTCTTGCTGGTTGTCACCAATTATCACACACCTTGTTGCTGGTTCTATCCAAATGGCTTGTTGATTATTGTTTCATCAAGTTATCTCTGATATGTGTCCTGCATTCTTGATACCGGTAGTCAAACACGGCATTTTTAAACAATCACCCAATATAGATGATATTGACATGTCCCAAAATCCAAATTCCATTAACATGCCATTTATGGAATATTTCGCAGGTAGCCATGTTTGATGACCAAAGGACACCCCACTTTTATCGCCCTGGCCTGGCCTTGTTCGTTGCCTCCGCAATCAATGGAGGGATCGCTCCCAAGTTCCTCGGGCAACTGGGTGTTCGTTAATTATCGGCTGACATTATCCAGATCTAAAATCACTTCTAGGAAAAAACAATGTTTTGAGAAAGATTTGAACAAATGATTGACAAAGACTTCAGCCAATTTGACATTGGGCACTTAAATGAGCAGCCGCCAGGTAGAAAAAAAAACAATCTTCTTCCAACGCATCCTTCTCGGTCAAGGTCCTTTTTCCAAGACAGGTCCTTCCAACCGCCTTCTTGCCGGAGCCATCACCGAAATAGCAATGGCCACCGGCTTGACGGCGTGACCCCGCTGGATGATACCCATGGGGTGTACCCTGCATTATCTTACTGGTGCTAAACGTAGGGAATGGATGGGAATCGGGGAATGGGATGATTATCACTAGTGATTATGCATCATTCTGTCATTCCCTGCTAAGCACCAGTAAGTTATTTGCATAGTTCCCACATACCCCATGTCCATTTCCAATATCCGAAGAACGAAATCTTTGGCGCTTGGTAGCACCACATCTGTGCTTGGCTTTCTCTGTTTATTTTGACACCCCATTCCATCAAGCCAACCATGGCCATCACCACAATAGGCCACGGGGCCACTCCCCACATGGTCACCGTTAATTGATTCAAATGAAATCACCATCAAGTTGGTGAAGATCAACATCATCATCACCTCCTGTGCCTCGCAGTGTGATACCACCAAGGTTATAAAATATGGCTCACCAATAAATCATGACAATTCCCTATGGTTTATCAATGGATTGGTAAAAAAATATTTAATGATAAAAAACATGTTTTTTTGGGTAAAATTTCCCTTAAACCAATCCATTAAGTTTATCATGATATCCCATGATATGGTTGATGTATCCCCATGGAAGTGACTCCCAGGTTTCTGGGGTTTCCGGTGGAAACCGGTGCGAAACACCGAGCGGCGTTCCCATGGAGCGCGCCGTGAACCACACGCGCGAGGCATCGTAGGGATCCACCCGAAAGTCGTGCCAGCGCACCTCCAAGCAGTCACCAAATGCCAAGAAGACTGGAAAATCATGGGCTGATGTTTAATGATGGTTTAGAATGCTTTATATATATATAAATATGTTTAATCCTATGTAATTGTATTTACCTTGATTGTAACTTGGTTGATCATGACATTTTTTATCACCCAGTGGGGCTCAACAGTTCTGCCTGGACATCGTTCCAGGCTCGACAGCGAATAAGTAGAGGATGTTTGAAGGGTCACCCCTGAGTGAAAGTAACTGGTGAACGAACAGTGCTGGTTGGTGGTTTTAACCATCTTGAAAAAAGTCAATGGGAAGGATGATCCCACATATTATGGAAATAAAAAAAATTGTTCCAAACCACCAACCAGAGATGGTTTGTTGATGTTATTTGACCCACTTGATGTTAAACGATCCGCATTTTGCAATCGGATTGCGTCAACAAAAACCATCCATTTCTGGGCGATGGATACCTCCTTGGTGGTGCAACATGGGCTATTTCTCGGGATCCCTTGGATGATCCAATGTTGTCCGAAGAAGTGGCAGTGCCTTCTATCCTTCTAATCTATCTTTGGGTTAACATCCCTATTCACCATATGAATATATATATATATAAATTATATATAGATTCTATAGATGCTTCACATTGCCAGGATTGCGGGTGTTTCTATCACCATATATTCAGTCTGCAAGTCGAATGTTCGTTGCCTTCTGATCAGGAAAGGCCACTTTCAAGTCGAACTGGCCCAGCGTCCTCAGGATGAAACGGTGGATGGCTGGAAGGGGCCATTCAAACCACAAACCCATCCCCCTGAGATGAAACCTCCAATTGGCCCAAGTGTGAATTGGAAAATCCATCTATAAATGAGGAATTTTCCATTGCCACGTGTGGGGTAGATCCAGTCCTAAACCGGTTTTGTGGAGGGGTGGTCACCAGCGAGCCGGAGCAAGCCACCAAACGAGTCTCACCAACCGAATCATTCATGGGGACTCAGCCAACAGCAGTGTGGACTTATGGATTTATCAATGACGAACCACGGACCAGGGTGAAGCTTTGATCTATTAGGGGGTCACCAAAATAGATGAAGGGATGAGATTGCCATGTCGAAAGTCATTCCTTTTTGGTCCAAAAACACAGGCAGAACGACTTGGATCCCCACACCAAACTGGAGGCCAAGTTTCTTGATGAACTCATCTTTCTCCAAAGGACCAATGACCTGGAGCGACGCTTGGGGACACGCGAACATCCGCAACGTTGGGACAACCCGGGTGTTAGATGGTGTTAGGACATGATTTGCAATGATGTAAATGATGTATATCCTATATTCCGTATACCACCAGGGGTTGGAACCTAGATGGCATTTCCATCCTTCCTTTTTCGGATTGTGGAAATTGCGAGCTGGACCATGATGTGTCACCATTCGGTGGCACACCTCTGGTACATAAATACAGCAAACATATAAACATCATCTGTAGCAACCTCCCAAACATGGAAACGTACAGTAAAAATCCTGCTAAAATAGCGGTGATTTTGTATCTGTTTTGTGTTTCCTATACTCGAATCCAAAGTGATCCGCTGAATGGAAGCAATGCCTGGATCCAAATGGTTCATAACCCAACAGGATAAGCTAGTTAACAACAGTTTATATATATGGCTTATATATATGGCTTAAGGTATAAGCTATAGTTATCAACAATAAGCTTTACAGGACAACAGTTTAATATATGGCTGATCTCTTACTGACATGTGAGCTATGGAACTCTCGGAATCGCCGTTGATAACCAACTATGACATATAATCACCATAGGTATATGGGATAATATGCTATATGACCATGCAAAATAGGGACTAAAATGAATATACTTATTTGTACGTTTCTTGCACTTTTGTAGTTTGTTGAAATTCTCTTCAGCAGTTCGAAATGCATTTCATTCATCTGCTGGGCGTCTCATGCCCATTCATTATTATTCCGTGACATACGTGGCAGAACCATAACACCATCAATTTGGTAACTCGAACCCAATTTCGAATAGTTTCATACCCAATCAGAGAACCAAGTCTTTTCCATATATCCCATATCCACATTTTTTTCAACCTTTTGTCTGAAAATAGGCTACCCACATTTTTTTCACGGTATTTCACCATTTTCCCTATTCAAATGGATTCGTTGTGCGTATCTAGATCAGTAGGTGGATACCTCCAGTCTCAGACACACCCGGACACACCCAAATATAGTTCACCTACACAGTATATCAATATTATATTATAGTTCCATGATATCCATATATCAATAATAACATGGTTCCATATATATTCACCCAAATTGACACAGCCAAATATATATCTGGTCAATTATATCTAAGAATCCCATGTGATCATCCAACTGTTTGGATGCCACATATCATATGGATTAAACACATATCATCCACTTAATAAATATGACAATCTTGGAATGAATAATATAATCATACTGTATAAAAATAATGCTGAATATCATCCACATGGATACTATATCCCCCAATATATATATATGTTATGGATAGTATATCATCTTGGATACAACCAGTGGTGATGATTTTACCACATGTCATATCATATTGTCATGTATCATCATACTTGTGGATTTTCCATATCAAACTCTGGGTCAACCTGAGGACCATAAAGCTGGGTAAATTATAATATTTCACCAATCTGAAATCAGGCCATTTGAGGATGATTTCCCTATTGTTTCCCCTACTAACCATCATTCCAGGCTTAAATCGCAGTGAGGTCGTTATAATTTGCCCAGATAAATGGTATCTAAATGGTATGGCACATTGATTAATGGGATTATGATAAATGGACATAATCTAAATGGTATGGCACATTGATTAATGGGATTACGATAAATGGACATAAATGGTATATACATATATATGGTATAGTTACTAGTTACTGCATGTTACTGCTATGGTAACCATGGTATATTATAAATACCATAAATGATGGTATATACCTAATATAAAGTATCCAGGTGATGGTTACCATATGATAACTATGGTGCTATGGAAATGGTATAACAATGGAAAAACACCATATGATATGAATATTATAAATATACCATATGATAATTTATAATATCATAACAATGGTATATTACAAATGATATCATCCAACTCACCATCGGAGAAAGTTAGTTCGGAGATTCCGCCTGCCCCACGAAGAGGAAGTCATCGGCCAAGAGCTCGGGGTCCTCCATGCCGTACCTGGACAACGAAAATGCTGGGCTTTCAGCAACGAAAGCCGTGCTGGGGACGGTGAGTCCTAGTGATTGATAGTAACTAATAGTGACTAATGGTGACTAATAGTGACTAATAGTGGCTAATAGTGACTAGTGATTGATGGTGATGAATAGTGATGAATAGTGATGAACTTCATAATGGATATAGTCTAGTTAATTAATCCAACTTCTCCTTTTCATAACAACAAATTCAATGATGATGGAGTGGATTTCTACATACCGCCATCACTAAGAGTATCTAGCGAATCAATAAAGAGTAAACGAGCGCCCGGTTGTGACTGGGAGCAGGGTCCATCGGTTTGGGAAGAACAACGAAAGGAAGACTGAAACTATGGCGATTTCATCCGCAAAAATGGGATTGCACTTGAGATAGGCATGGGTTTCACTAATTCACAAAACACCTGGCAGCAGAAACCTCGGAAACAGCTTGGTGGGTTACCAATTTGGCCAAGTAGGACGCCAAGTAGGACCATCTCATCTGGGAACGAAACAGTTTGGTGTCCTTCAGTCACCAAATTGAAATCACCCCCAAATGGTGATCAATGTGATCGGTGAATAATTGTGATTAATGGTCCATTAATGGTGATAAAAAAAGTGATTGATAGTGATTAATAGTGACTAAGAGTGATTAATAGTGATTAATGTTTAATTAATGGGATAGTTTTTCGCAGTGTTTATGAGCCCTCTTTTCTTCCATACTGCTGACTAACCAACGTCCAAGTGCATGGATGACGATCATCTCCTGACCTCTCTGATGATTAAAACACCTTTTCAAAAATTAGCAAGCAGTCAACTGCTGCTTATATATAAATATATACATCTCAAAGTGACATATGAAGAACTCACCACGTCTTCCGCGCACAGCTCTTTTTCAACCACCTACCAAAGTTCAGTCTGTTTCACCTGCTCTCCTCAGGTTTGCTTTGGATGTGTCACAATGTGACTCGCACATAGCCCCAGACCGAATCACCTCTGGTCAGCAACCTGGTCACCCCAGGTTGGGACCTGCCTTTGCAGGTATCACCCGTCCCTTAACCTAAGGGAGGGAAGTTTCTTTTGGTCGCCCCGAAAGAGTATCCCCGAAAGAGGCTATGTACTCGCCTGCCATGCAGGCTCCCCTAACCTAGGCGGACATCTCCACGGGAGGTCGGCTCTTAGGGTTGGGAGGGTGGGGAAAGAAACAGCAATGAATGCTATTTTGGCTCAGCTCCACTTGAGCCAAAATGAAAGCATTCATTGACTCACTTAAAGATGACACATGCACACCCAAGCCTGCCAAACTCAATGCATGAATACATCTCAAAGTGACATATGAAGAACTCACCACGTCTTCCGCGCACAGCTCTTTTTCAACCACCTGCCAAAGTTCAGTCTGTTTCACCTGCTCTCCTCAGGTTTGCTTTGGATGTGTCACAATGTGACTCGCACATAGCCCCAGACCGAATCACCTCTGGTCAGCAACCTGGTCACCCCAGGTTGGGACCTGCCTTTGCAGGTATCACCCAATGCACTCAAACACCCAAAGCACTAGAGGAATTCAAAGGTGAGAATGACTGCAACGAATGGCAACTGGAAAAAGATTGTGGGGAGGTACGACGAATGAAAGCTAGATCCATGGCAGCGCCACCAAGTCGTCGGCCCAGTTGCTCTTGCTCTGGACGTACTCCCAGTAGCCCTGGGCACGCAGTGCGAAGAGGGCCAAAGGAATCAGATGGCCTAGCTTTGCTAGGTCCGAATTGCTAGAACGTCCCCTCACTAAGGTCATGACTGCAGCCACAGCGTCGAGGAACCATAGACCGTGTCGATGGCGGAGAAGGCCAGGGCTCTCACTCAAGGTGTAAATTACCATGGAGAGCTCCAACTGCGCAATGTGGGTCTCTGCAGGCTGCCACAGGAATTGTAGTTCTTCGCAATTGGTAGCAACAAAACTGTAAATTCACGTTTTGGCTCGAAACGCATCACTGCTTCGATCACCTCGAAGCATTCTTCAATCTCTGAAGTCAAGCTGGTGACACTCTCGTCCTGGCAAGCCTTCACTGCCATAAGGTCACCATAGCCAACTCGCCCATAGATGCCCTGCTCCTCAAGTTTCCCGAAGTAAGAGCACCCGTACTTGGAAGCTGAAATTCGCTTAAAAGTTCGAGCCAGATTCATGGCAAGTGGAAGGCACCACCACGTAGGATCGCCCCCACGTGGGCCCCAAACCTATGTCACAAAAGCAAGTAAGGCCACATCAAGTAGGATTGCCTCCGGCTTGAAACCCAACCTGCTTACGACAGCAGAGGCCTACAGCCTTGTGGCCACTGCCTGGCAATGATCATGGGCAACCTGTGAACCTCAAGTAGCGTTACCTCTACTTGGAACCTGGCTTGCTGGGGCAGGCAAAACTAACAGCCTCCAGCTCTGCTGAAAACGCAAACATGGGTGCCAGCAAGTAGGATGACCCCCACTTGGACTCCAAACCTGAATCACTAAGGCAATAAGGCCACACCAAGCAGGATCATCTCCTCCTTGAAACCCAACCAGCTTAAGCCCACAGCCCTGTGGGCACTGCCTGGCAATGCCCATGGGCAACCTGTGAACCTCAAGTAGCGTTACCTCTACTTGGAAACCTGGCTTGCTGGGGCAGTCAAAACCAACAGCCTCCAGCTCTACTGAGAACGTAAAAAAAAGAAGAAAAAAAAACGGGTGCCAACGAGTAGGACCCTCACTTGGACCCCAAACCTACGTCACTGAAGCCAAGCAGAATATTTCCTGCTTGAAACCCAAACGGCTTGAGACAGCAGAGGCCCATATCTGTGAGCGCACTGCCGACACCCAGCTTGCTTGGGGGAGTCAAAACCAACAGCAGCCCACGCTGCTGAGATTGCAAAATCCAAGTTTCCAGAAGTAGGATCACCCCTACTTGGAAACTGAAATTCGCTGAAAATTCGAGCCATATTCATGGCAATTGCTAGGCACCCTCAGGTAGGATCACCCCCACTTGGATGCCGAACTTATGTCGCTAAAGCAAGTAGGGCTACACTAAGTAGGATTACCTCCTGCTTGAAACCCAACCAGCTTGAGACAGCAGAGGCTTACAGCCCTGTGGTCACTGCCTGGCAGTGCCGGTGGGCAAGCTGTGACCCTCAAGTAGCGTTACCTCTACTTGGAAACCCAGCTTGCTCGGGAAAAGTCAAAAACCAACAGCCTCCAGTTTACTGAATGCTCAGAACCTCAGGTGTCCCGAAGTAGGAGCACCCGTATTTGGGAGCTGAAATTCGCTTAAAAAATTCGAGCCAGGCTCCTGGCGGGTGTTGGGTACCACCACGTAGGATTGACCCCACTCGGATCCCAAACCTATGTCACAAAAGCAAGTAAGGCTACATCAAGCAGGAGTGCCTCCTGCTTGTAACCCAACCTGCTTAAGACAGCAGAGGCCCACAGCCCTGTGGGCACTGCCTGGCAATGCCCATGGGCAACCTGTGAACCTCAAGTAGCGTTACCTCTACTTGGAAACCTGGCTTGCTGGGGCAGTCAAAACCAACAGCCTCCAGCTCTACTGAGAACGTAAAAAAAAAGAAGAAAAAAAAAACGGGTGCCAACGAGTAGGACCCTCACTTGGACCCCAAACCTACGTCACTGAAGCCAAGCAGAATATTTCCTGCTTGAAACCCAAACGGCTTGAGACAGCAGAGGCCCATATCTGTGAGCGCACTGCCGACACCCAGCTTGCTTGGGGGAGTCAAAACCAACAGCAGCCCACGCTGCTGAGATTGCAAAATCCAAGTTTCCAGAAGTAGGATCACCCCTACTTGGAAACTGAAATTCGCTGAAAATTCGAACCATATTCATGGCAATTGCTAGGCACCCTCAGGTAGGATCACCCCCACTTGGATGCCGAACTTATGTCGCTAAAGCAAGTAGGGCTACACTAAGTAGGATTACCTCCTGCTTGAAACCCAACCAGCTTGAGACAGCAGAGGCTTACAGCCCTGTGGTCACTGCCTGGCAGTGCCGGTGGGCAAGCTGTGACCCTCAAGTAGCGTTACCTCTACTTGGAAACCCAGCTTGCTCGGGAAAAGTCAAAAACCAACAGCCTCCAGTTTACTGAATGCTCAGAACCTCAGGTGTCCCGAAGTAGGAGCACCCGTATTTGGGAGCTGAAATTCGCTTAAAAAATTCGAGCCAGGCTCCTGGCGGGTGTTGGGTACCACCACGTAGGATTGACCCCACTCGGATCCCAAACCTATGTCACAAAAGCAAGTAGGGCTACATCAAGCAGGAGTGCCTCCTGCTTGTAACCCAACCTGCTTAAGACAGCAGAGGCCCACAGCCCTGTGGTCACTGCCTGGCAATGCCCATGGGCCACCTGTGATCCTCAAGTAGCGCTACCTCTACTTAGAAACCCAGCTTGCTGGGGGCAGTCAGAACCAATAGCCTCCAGCTCTGCTGAAACCGCAAAAATCCAAGTTTCCAGAAGTAGGAACACCCCTACTTGGAAACCGAAATTCGCTTAAAAACTGGCGCTACATTCATGGCAAGTGTTGGGCACCAGCGAGTAGGATCACCCCCACTAGGGCCCAAAACATATGTCACTAAAGCAATAAGGTCACGCCAAGCAGGATTACCTCCTGCTTGAAACCCAACCTGCTTAAGACAGCAGAGGCCCACATCTCTGTGCTCACTGCCGCCACCCAGCTTGCTTGGGGAAGTCAAAACCAACAGCCCCCAGCTCTGCTGAAATTGCAAAAATCCAGTTTCCAGAAGTAGGATCACCCCTATTTGGAAACTGAAATTCGCTTAAACAATTCAAGCCATATTCATGGCAACAGCTGGGCACCCTCAGGTAGGATCACCCCTACTTGGACGCCGAACCTATGTCGCTAAAGGAATTAGGGCCACACCAAGTAGGATTGCCTCCTGCTTGGAACCCAACCTGCTCAAGACAGCCCTGTGGTCACTGCCTGGCAGGGTCGATGGGCA